GATTGAATGGTAATTTATAATCAGTCACAAGAACGTCGAATCTGAATCACTTGAAAAAAACACGGGGGTGCTTAACTTTTTTCCAGGTGTATATGTGGCCATATTAAGGGCTTGAGGAGCCTTCAGAACTGAACTTCGTAGATAAGTTCAGTACTATTTATTAACTACAGTTGGAGCAATACACAAACCCAAACAATCAATAGATAATATACAAAATACTGATTCTAATATTTGTAATAAATATAAAGTAATGACAACAAATATATTTGTTAAATGTCTGAGCGAGTATTTGTGAAAGTACAAGCTTTTGAGAACGTATTAACAAAAGAATTACAAAATAATAAAAAATGACTAAAATTAATGTTATTATAGTTACTCAATAGCAAATGTATATTTTTCATTGAGTCATCCAGTTTTTGATTGATTTTTTATTTTGTTCTTAATCTCAATAACTCCCCTCCTCTATCTTGGGCCTGTGTATGCACTAAACCTAACTTAACATAACTGGTATCTTTTCATAATTGAAAATTTCTCTAGCTTTCATACAAATAGAATTTAACATCAAAACTTTTTCAGAAACAAAACAAACTAAGTGTTCAAAATTTTCCATTAGATTAATTTGTTCATCTCTACAGGAGCTACATGTAGCCAATATCTTAAGAAACTGTAAATTAATGATCAAACCACAATATTTACTGTAGACTGACATAAGTGGATTATAATCTCCTCTGTCTATATATAATTAGCATTGGATCTTGCTATTTTCAAAGCTTAGCTTTGTGAATAATTTTTCAGTTAACATGCTGTGACATTATAAAAGGGTGACAATGAAGAACTGTAGTAATAATAACATTGACAGAGAAGGAAAACACTATGAAAAACAAGTCATTAGTCATTATAGTTTCTTAGGATATATAAACTTATACTTTGGGATGAAGTGAGAGATAGAAAAGTTTTTGTTGCAGGTGAGACTTCATGAGCTACACAGAAATGAAAACTTTTGTCTTCTTTTGGGAATTACACTAAATAAATGTTACATAATGGAAAAAATAAATTCTAAAATATTTTTGAGTTGAAAATTGTTGAAGTAGAATAATTATTTATACTTAAATTTCTTAAAATTCTCAAAAAAGGATAATTTCATCTTTCCTTTTCATAGTAATAGAAGACTTAAGATTACACGAATATATCTTCTTGACAAAACAATAAAGATACATATGGATATAATTAAAACCTTAAAAAGATTAATTTATAAGCTCGAATTAGATGTATAATATTTACTTGCAGTAACGCTTTAGAAATTTCACTTTGTTTCATATATTTTATTCTCAATGTACCTGTTTAAATTCCGTTTTAGGCTCGAGCCAAGTTGATTGAAGAAATGGATGTCGTTAAGAAAGGTATGGGTCATGGAGATCTCAGCTTGGATGCTTACACCCAAGTATGGGAAGAATGTCTTGGGCAGGTGCTCTTCCTCCCTTCTCAGAACAGATACACTCGTGCCAATCTGGCCAGTAAAAAAGATAGAATTGAGTCACTTGAGAAAAGATTGGAGGTGAGTTGGAAGTAGATAAGTTGTTTCAAGTTTATGTACTTAATCTTTACAAACAGAAGTGTTGAGAACACAATATTCTGGAATAATTATGCCACAAAGAAGCACAACTGTAACAAGTTTTAAAAAGTTAAAAACTGTACTGGAGAAAACATATTGTTACATGACTAAAGTTGCTATTCAGTAAAAATTGGAAATATTGGTCATTAAGTACATTGAAGTTTATGTCTTGGGTAAACCAGGCATATAAAAACATTTTTACTGCTTTCTAGAATTTTTCAAATCTTTGTTTTTTGTGTCATTTCTTGCTTATTGAGGCAATTTGCATCTTGATTTCACAGGAAAAACTATAATTCCGATACGGTACTTCCCCCTGCTCATAAGATTAGCTATTCTCATCCAGTACTGCCCTCTATAAGCAAATTTTATTATTTTTGCATGCCATAAGCCTTCTGCTCCCCCCTATTGGAATGGAATGATTCCAACATGTCTCTCATGTAAATCATCATACGTCACTTCTCCACCAATAGGAGCGTGACATACTCACTTGATGCATGTGACTCCCTCTATACACCTCTACTGAACTATCACTTCGAGGTTGGCAGCGCTTGTGCTCAAATATATTCCTTTTTGTTTGTTTAAAGTTTCACTCACAAAGTGGTCTTCATTTATGTTCACTTCTATTTTCGATTAAGACTATTTCTTCATTTTAATCCCAGTTTATTACAGTCACATTGTTATTTATACTTTCGATTGTTGGTTGACTTTTCCTCATTATGAATTCCAAAGTTCATGTTAACACTTCAGGGATCACACCTGCGACTAGTGCTATATCTCAGGCATCTGGTGCGGGCAACCCCGTGGGGGATTTATCTGCATTTATTTTGGCAGGAGATTGAACATTACATGGGTTAACCCCTGTCTCTGGACCACACCCCTCTTCCTCCTGAACAAGCTGAGCCTGTTCAGATGGATGAGGACTTGAATTGCCTATTTCTATCTCCTGATTTTGCCGTTCCTTCCTATGTCCCAACTGAGGAGTCAATTAGGCCTAATACAGTCTTTTTGAATTTTGTTTCTCAGTTATGTATGTGATGTTTTATCCCTTTCCCCTACTTCCTTATTACATGACCAATTTTCCCATCTGTATTTGGTTTTTTCCCCATCCCCAGATATTTTGGTACATGCTGACCAATTTCCCTCCCATTAAGTGACAGGATTAACATGCCTCACCCCCCATGGGCTTCAGATCAGTTTCCTCATGCATATCAATGTGCACATTGTCCTTTTCTGGACCAACAATTGTTAGGTTCTATTTTGCCTATTTGGGGTGTGGCCCCTGAATTTCCTGTAAGTCTCACGAATGCCAAATTTTCCCTCCTTTGTCTTACCCTCACAACTCTTTTATGGTATGTCTACCAGTCATCTCCTCTCTGAGACACTCCACCTAAATCCTGAGGCTTCCATATTCCATGGCTTCACAATGCTCGCTGTTGAGATGGGGTGTTCCACAAGATCACTTGTAGATGAATAACCTCATGATGTAAATGCTTCATAAACTTACCCGTTTTAAATTGTACCACCCATAGACTGCATGGATAAAACAGAAGAAGATAGCTGCCCATCCTTGCCATGCCTTATATTGAATAAATTGGTATGATCTGCTTTTCAAAATAGGGTCACCCATTGCACTGTCTCAGGTAATGACGTTACTTCAGACTCTCCACCATGTTCTCACCCCCTCCCCCCTTTTAGTACAGGAGTCCTTACCACTCTCCAAATTCAAGCTGTTGGGGTGGTCGACATGCTATCCTCCAATATGCAATATACATTCACATAGAAGTGAAAAGTCAAACTGCAGTTCACCCCTTTGATTGTGAGCCCTCATCCTAACCCTGTGTGGATGTTGGTACCCCATGGCTGGGTTTTGGATTTAGAGTAGAACCAATCAACATTAATCCTCACACATGTTTATGATTGTCTATATTCTTCCTTCGATCATACTCCTTCTGTGTTGTAGGTCACAGTGGAGGTAAGGGGGATTATTCTGGTTCTGTCCCTTTTGCTATCCCTTGTTGTATCTTATTCTGAGGATGTTATTGCTTTTCGGATAGTTCTGGTCAGTTTTGCTATAGGGGAGTTGATTTATATTATATTTGACATCTTTTTGATACCGGATGTCAGGTCTCCAGTTTGATAGATCAAAGCTAACATGTGTCATGCTCAGGAGTTGGAGTGGTTCTAGATTCCACCTGGTCTCTTAACCTTGAGCTGAAGACAGTATGATCCTCATCCTACTTCTGCATGGATGTCGGTTCCCAGTGGCATGGGAGCACAGTCTGTTGAGCCCTAGCCACTCTACACCTAGGGCATATCCATTGTTTTATACTTAGTTAGATTAAGTTACATATATATTTACCTGTACTGTGAGTGAAATTAAGTTACATATATATTTACCTGTACTGTGAGTGAAATTAAGTTACATATATATTTACCTGTACTGTGAGTGAAATTAAGTTACATATATATTTACCTGTACTGTGAATGAAATTAAGTTACATATATATTTACCGGTACTGTGAGTGAAATTAAGTTACATATATATTTACCTGTACTGTGAGTGAAACTGACAATATTCTGTTCAGAATACAACATTATATAATACATCATTTGAAAGATGAAAACCTTGACAGTCTATTGGTTATAAGTAATATTTAATGAAACGTAAGAATGAACTATCAATAAATTGTGAAAGAGAGGATGTGACAGGTGGGTGTGGTAGGAGGGGTCTGATTTTCTATTCTATAGCTCCGTAACCAAACAAAATTGAAGACTATAAAAATTATAGTTTGTCTGAGCAATAATGATTTTATAGAGAGTAAATTATGTTTAATTTCATATTTTTTCAAGGGGTAGTGGATAAAATATGGATGATGACATGCTAAGAGAAAATGTGTCACAGGTGTCACACTAGTGGAAATTCAGGATTTTTTTAAATATTGCCTTGTAGAATTAAGAACTTAAAACTTGTATACTATTGAAATATGGATTATTAGCTAAGAATTTATGCTATTCTAATTGGTATAACATAAACAAAAAGTGGTTTAATAAAATTTTGAATATAAGACACTAAAATCTTGTGTCATGCACAGTAAAGGGTACCAAGGGGCAATAGGGTTAACACCTAACTATTTTATAAAGTTTTTATCTTGTATGTAAAAACATTCAATTTGAAAGAGATTGGTAAAAACAGAACAAAATGTTGGATGTGCATACACCTAAACCTGGACTTGAGTATCCCACACTTGATGTAATTTTTTGGTATATTTTTACACTAAGAAAAAAGTCTGCCTTCACTGTAAATTAATTGTACATAAGTGACAACTATAATTTTAGACTGCTACCTGTAACATTAGGATTTTAGGGTGTATTAACTTCATTGAATGTTAAGTTGAGGTTTTCCTTGTTTCTACATGTTTCAGCTTAATAGAGGCCATATGACAAAGGAAGCTAAAAGAGCAGCCAAAATGGAAAAAAAGCTAAGAATTTTAACAGGAGGTTATCAGGTACTTGTTAAACTTGTACTAAGTATGAGCATGTTTATTAGTGTGCTGTTTTTGTACATTAAAGTTCTATGTTTGTTCATAATCTGCATAATTTAAATATTTGTCAGAAATTGATGAAGTTTAATCATACTCATTGATATGCTGTTTTTATATAATTTTTTATTAATAATAAATCACAGAGCTTGTCTGGTCGGTTTCAAATTTGAAGGTGATGCTCTATCGTAAAATTTTAAGAGAATGACGAGTTTAAAATCTTGGGAAGAAAGTAAGGATTTCTTATCAATATTTAATGACAGTTGTACTTATTAACTTGCTCTCTCTCTCTCCAGAAATCTAAACTTGTTGCAGTTAAATGTCCAATACATTTGATATTAATATAAATTTGAAAATTTTATTGATTATTTTCTTTAAACATATTAATAATTATATTTATTTTCACTTAAATAAGACTGAAAAAATGCTTCCTGTAAATATGTAACCAAACCTTTATATAAACTAATAGTTTCTAAGGTCAAAATTGTATATACATTTGTTTAGTGTATAACTGTATGCAATGCTTTTTTTTTGTTATGTTTTACTACCCAACAGAGCACTGGTTGGGTATTGGTTTTTACTCACTTGTATTTTCTGTTTGACCCTCCCTCCTATCTGATAAGATGGAAAGAAATGTTTTTTTTCTTACCCCCATTGGTGTTATCTCAGTAGTGATGATTCCAAGATGAAATTCAATCACAATGTTTGTGCTTACTCACTATTTCAGTCCCCTTTGAAATAGTTTACTTGATAAATACTTTTGCTGAGGTTTTTATTTTATTCACCATACAACCTTAAATGTGAAGATAATTAAATCAGTTCAGTGAATTTAATTGTAATATTCTTATGTGCCAGAAAAAAAAAATGTTTGATAACTTCACTATTCATGTTCATCCTCTAAGAAAATAAATTTTTATTTACACCCAGTTTAATTAAACTCACAGGGTTAACATATTATGTAGTTGTATCAGTTTATTTTGAACAATGATCAGTTCAGGGGGTAACTTTTCACAGATATTTTATATGACATCTAATTATTAATACTTTTATTCCCTCTTGTGTGTGTGTGTTTATTAAAGTTTCACACCATAAAGTGTAGGCATATGTGTGTGTGTTTTAGTTTCACACCATACAGAAGTTAATTTGTAGTTAAGGAATTAAAAAGCACCTCAACTGTAGATTTATTTGCAAGTGCTTTTCCTGCCATTGATAAAAAATCATTACTTCATTAACATTTTTTATAATGTATGCTTTTTTTAATGACATTTAATCTATTGTAATTTTGAATCAATATACAATTACATAGCATGTTAATGTGCTGGTAAGAATGAAATTGAATTAATGTGTCGAAAATATGCCAGAACATGTATCAGCCTGTCAGATCATAGAGTTTCCTGTAGGAGTAACTTGTGTATGTGGCTTGCTGGTGTACTTTGGCATAAAGTAATAACATTGTTCTGCAGTGCAAATACAGTTTTTATTGCCTAGTCTTCAAAATTTGTCATTTATTTCATATGTGTAAGTTATTGTCAAAAACATTTCCATTTTCAGTCACGAGCTCAAGCCCTTATTAAACAGATTCAAGATGTTACAGAACAAGTTGAACAAACCTTTCTTGAACTGAAGACATTTGAATCTTTGAAAGAACACGAATCTCTGGCTGTTCCCAAGCGTGTAGAGGTATGTGATAATTGGAAGTTCAATTTTACTAGTAAAATAATTGCAACTTCAAAAAAAGTTGATGTTGTAGTACCAAAATGTTTGATTTTAACTGATGAGCAAATTGCATGATAGTGTAGCTAAGCTTGGATATTTGTATTGTTTTGCTTTCTTGGCTAAATAGTTTCATATTTTTATTGAATCCTTGATTGTTTTTTTTTTTTTTTCTGTAAAAGTCACAGCATAAAGATTTCATTTAAAAATGTATTGTCAACAGAATTACATTTGATTTTGCTGGAAATACTGAAAAACTTCAAAAATTAAAGTGAACATAGAAACACAGAAGAAACCAATTTCTTACTTGGTATTGGTAAATGTCAAAGTTTGTGAAAGCTTCTGGATTGTGGTTAAAAAAAAGAAGTTATTAAGCCCATTCCAGTAATACAAAGTCTGTCTTTGGAACTTCCAATATGGTGTGATAATTGTAACAGCCTTACCCTCAGACATATGATGTAAATCAGGAAGGGATGATTACAAAACTTTTGTTACTAACTTTTCTTATATATTTCTTATTTATAAAATATTGCAAGTTCAGGAAAGATAATTAAACTTTGGATTTGAGACGCCATCAGCTGATGTCTCCTTTTGATTTATGTCAGAGTTATCTATTTTTTGAGACTTTGTTGTATTTTTAGTTAAATCTTAGTGCTTTGGGGTTTTAAAATTTGTTTCCACAGTTATATTATTCAAAACATAACAAGTGGTGCTGTTATTTTTCTTTGTATTATTTGGTCATTTCATTTTCAAGAACAATTTATTATTATTAGAAGTTTCTGTAGCTTATTGAAGATATTTTTAGCTCAGTTTTTTTTTCTTCCAATCTGTCTTTTGGCAGTTTTGTTGTATTATGCAAAGATTTATTTACAATTGTGAAGTGTTATCAGTATAAGAAATACCAGAAATTGTATTATTCCACTTAACTGTGAGTTAAGATTTTTATTGTGATGTCATTCAGTTCAGTAATGCCAACCATTCCTATTTTGATGATATAATTCCAAGTTTTAACCCTAGATTATGATGTTACAGGCAAACCATTTAAATTCTGATATGGAATTGATTAAACACTGTCAAGATTATAGTCATTGAAATGTTTGTATTTTTGCAACTGTATTCAATCTAGACTCAAATGCTTTTGTAACACTGAATGAAATATTGACCAATCAGAAATCATATTGACAGTTAACCCATTCAAAGTTGGAACAGACTTATTACTTTTATTGATAAAGATGGTGAAACAAAAGCCATCTAGCTAAAAATGTTTAGCCAAAAAGAGCATAGGGAAATTGTTCCATATTGAGATGCCACCATTACAACAAAGAAATAGACAAAAAAAGATCATAGGTAAATTTATCACTTAAAAGATACCTGTAAAGTAAAGGTGAAAATTAGAAAAAAAAATCAACCACAACAAGTACAATGTAAATTTATCACTTAAAAGATACTTTGAAGGTAAAGGTGAAAATTAGAAAAAAATCAACCACAACCAGTACAATTTAAGAAGTTGTATCCCAATAAGGAACTTTGGCATATTGAGACACACCATACACCAAAAATATCAGGAATATACCACTCCCACACACTACAAAAGAACAAACGTCATACAAGTTTAATGACTGAACGATCACATAAAGTAAACTGAAGCTGAAAAAGAAAAAAAACAACATAAACTACAACAATTAAAAATGGCATCCCAAGCTTGGATGTTGCAGAAATTTAAGTTTGAATACACTTCTAATTGACAATACAATAGTTAAAATATACTCCTGATTAGCCATGCATTAATTATCCAAATAAGTGAAAACCATACCTTTTGTACACTTTATTCTGTGGATTTTGGTATTGCTTGCAGTAAGAAAGTGATTACAGATATTAAAATCATTTTAATTTTTCTGCTCAGATTCCAATTTTACAACAATTATGGTTAGTGTCTTTCCTAAGTGTAATCAATTTTTATGTCTTATCAAAGATTATAAATTCGTTTATTGTAGTATGTGGATGAGGTTTTTTTCAGTCAACTTGTAGCTGTGGTTGAAATACTGATTAGGCTGTATAATTGACAAGTGATGTGTAAATACTTTTTCCTATGTGGTGGAGCTTCTCTCCATGAAAGTTAAATTATTCTGAAACTTGTGTTATGTATTCTCTCAAAAAATTCTTTTTTTTTTCTCACTAAGAACCAGTACTTAAATAAACTTGTTAGATATTCAAGCTGTGTAATAATCAAGTTAATTTGTCCACGTGATGGTACAGATTGTACGCTTTTTCCGACATTCACCTCATTAGAACATAGGTTGTTCAAATATGTGGGTAGACCTTGCAGCGATGTATCTCTTAGAATATAAAGTATCCAAATACGTGGGTAGACCTTTCAGCGATGTATCTCTTAGAATATAAAGTATCCAAATATGTGGGTAGACCTTGCAGCGATGTATCTCTTAGAATATAAAGTATCCAAATACGTGGGTAGACCTTTCAGCGATGTATCTCTTAGAATATAAAGTATCCAAATATGTGGGTAGACCTTGCAGCAATGTATCTCTTAGAATATAAAGTATCCAAATATGTGGGTAGACCTTGCAGCGATGTATCTCTTAGAATATAAAGTATCCAAATACGTGGATGGATTTGACTTTAACTATTTGTTTTCTCCTATTGTCCGAAAAATTAGTACATTTTATAACAGGTTCTTACTGGGAATATTTTTTACTTTAATTTTTGATTCCTTCAGAAGAGAAATCTCAGTCTCATTTTTATTTAGATGTTGTTTGACAGTGTTATTAAACCTTTTTTTTTTTTTAAATTACAGTCGTTGACTGAAGATGTCAATAGGCAAGTAGAGAGGGAGAAGAGCTTGCAGAAGCGCTATGAAGATCTTTTAAAGGATAGGGATCATTTAATTGCAGAACAGGATCACAGAATGTAACTGAGCCACTCATACAAATTTGCTGTGTGGTTTATAAAGTGATTTTGGAAATGAAACTGTACCTGTATAACAGCTCATTGTTTAAAATATATGCTAAAATCATATAAAAAGAGGGAAAACTGAGGTGACTATCAGGAAAAAAATGTTACTTAAAATCTAGATATAATTGTTATTGTTGTTTAATGTGTTTGTTCAGATGTAATTCAGTATCAAATAAAGGACATTCTTTGTAATCCAAAATAAGATATCATTTTCATATCATGTTCCTATCTATAAGAAAAATGTATCCTTGAGTTATTTCATACAACATGCAGTCACCGATTACACAGGCCTGCAAATTTAAATTTCATGAAAGTTGTTTTGGTTTTAGTAATGGATTTTCTATAATTCAGCTACGTAGATTTCAAAAATAATAATTTTTTTTCTATCATGTAAGGATTTTTTTCAAATCAGGAAGAAAAAAAAACTCTTACTTAGATCAAATTATTATTTCATTTACCACAATGAACATTTTTTATTATTATGTTTGTTAACGAAAAATACAAACAAACTGAAGAAAATGGAAGAACATTGATGTCAAACGAATATGTATCCTCATTCATCCTGTGCGGAAAATCTACGTCTTTTTGCCTCAAAATAATGCGTTGTGATTTTTTTTATGTATTGCATTATGATGTTTTGTGAAAAATCTGTACGTAATGGAGAAAAATGGATATCATTTTCAGATTCAGTGTACAGGAATCACTGTAGAACATGTAAAAATTTTAAGACAATGAAACCATTGCAAGCCTGTGTTGTTATTAGGTACTGGTTATCAGTGTTCATGATAAATTTTTATATGTTAATTTTTTGAATTATTCCCATGTCATCCATCTTCCAAGTGACTGTCTGTAATTAAAAATTGCTGCTAAAGGGAACTTATGAGTCTTTTTGTATGATTACTTTCAAGTTAATGTTATAGTGGGAGCTGTAAAGTATGCAATATGAAGAAGTTACCAAAAAAGAGAGATTATTGAAACCAACAAACTGAATTGACTCCAAGATATTAAAAACCGAATAGTGGAATTTTATTTTGATAAGTAGATGTGCCAAAATATTTAATTACATAACGATTAAATGGACTGCTGATTAAAGAAATTTTATTAATTTTCAAGGCAGGTTACATTCAAATCTTGTAGAATTTATTAAGCTCAAGACCTTCACATGTCTAATATTAAATGGTGCCGGCTGCCTCATTTGTGGTGGTGGTTCATTAGACAAATTTTGTGTTAACATATTTATGTTAACAAAGCATTAACATATTTTTTAACTGGTCATCAAAAGGTTTTGGAACATTCAGAGTAAAGCCATCAACACACAATTGGAGTAGCTATGGAGATGTCAAATGTTTACATCATAGAAATTGCAGCATATTGTACAGATACTTGCAAATGTCATATTTGAAATGAAGGTTTATAGGATTCTATGCAGAGCCAAAGCCCCTGAAGATGCTTAGAGTCTAACGTCTTCAGTGCAGATTATCTTGCTGAGGCATATACCATAGATTCATAGTCCAGACTAGATTGAGTGAGAACATTACAAATCTGAAGCATGGAACACCTGTCTACCCCTTAAGAGTTAGAAGTAGAGTATAATCAGTGTCCTTATGCACATCTTTAATTTACCTTGCATTAAATTTCAGTCTTGAACTCTGTGGTATGGGCTGTGTATTATTGTGCTATGATTTCCACTTTTTGGTTTCTTTCTACCATTTTTTTGCAACTTAAAGTGTTGCACAAATTAAATATACATATAACTGAAATTGACAACCTATAATACAAAATTTTAACACCCAACCTTGTTCCTTTACTGAGATATCATTATTTTTGTCACACCTGCATGACCCGGTCTCCTATTTCTCTCTGTCTTCAAGACATGTCTATTATTCTTACATTTCTATTGGATGTACTACTGATTAATAGGAAAAGCAAATTATACACTATGTAAATCATACAATTGTTTGTTTCACAAGTAAAAGCCAATAATTTTCACATAGAGGTTTGGGTTTGGATTAAAGACATTGCTTTGATTAGTAATGATTTTTTTAAACCTATTTATAGGTTACTTAGAATGCAAGATAAGTTACAGTAGCTTTGTGACATTCTAATTTAGTGCCTAAATGTATATTTGAAAGTTACATGAATAATTTTTATACAACCAACAATGTGATAAAAGTCTTACTAAACGGTGCACCCAAGTGGAAAAGACGGCTACGGTAAGTGCTGCTAAATTGTTTGTTTTTTATGTTTATTTGTTTTATTTATTGTTATATACTTTTAACAAAAGTAACTAATGTATAAAAATTAGAAACTTGTTAGGTTAGATAAGAAAACTTAAAGGAAAAAATTGAATAAAATTTGGTGGTTTGTTTACCATAACTTGCCCTAATCTCTTGCTGGCTGATTTATTGCTTTGTTAGGCTAGTTAGAAGTGATTCAAAGAGCAATAAAACTAAGATTAAATATAAGTACATTTGGATATTTTAGGAGCCTGATGTTGTTTAGGATATATGATTGTAGTTGTTGTTGCAATTTACATTCATTTTAGAAAAAAATATACTTTTTATTTTATTTAATATTTTTCACCTCTTTGCTATGGGTTATTTAGATACAGTTAGTATTAGGGAAGAGATAAAGTTAAAAATTTTACCAAACCAATTTTGAATATTCATTTAGGGGTTATGCAAATGAAACATGAAAACTTAGATGAAAAGAAGTATTTTTATTCTTAGCATGAAAATCACTCAGACTGACTCAGTAGACTTTGTGAATTAAAAGACAAAACTTTAGAAGAAACACCATGTTAAAAAATGTTTTTTTTTTTTGTACAAAACAGATTTGTAATGCTTAAGAAAAGTTTATCAAATTTCATTAAGTTACACTCAGTAGACTTAGAATTATAGTAAGCGGAAATGGGGCTAATTCAAAACACTAATTCACATAGGGTAAATTGGTCATATATACCAGTGAATTAATAATTTTATGTAGAATATCCAGGTAAGATAGTTTGAGAATCATCTTCAAGTTCAGCTAAGGAATTTTCTTCCATATATTCTTCCCTCAAAAACAGGTGCCACAACAGTAGTGGTAATAAATTATTCTTTTCCGTATTTTGTAGTAGATGGTGTTGTTACGTCTCCGTTCGTTAGTTAAT